GCGCTTCCTGTGCCTCTCCCAAGGTGATCTCTAATTGAGTTTCGTCAGATGTCAGTTAAAGGCAAGTGAGAGTAATGAAAAAACTCTGGGGAACAAAGGAGCTGTAATGCAGAGTTACTGTCGTAAACAGCAGTTGCCATTTAGATCAAGAAAGGATATATGGCGATGCTTTCAGAGGAGGATGGAACGATCCCTGCATTTGAAGAGAACCCAGGGGACCCGGTTCTATGCACTTGGTGTCCCAGGCATCCCTGGGTCCGCATGACATCTCTCCCAGTTTTCTCTGCAGGCAGAATACAGCCTACGAGAGAGATGAAGAACTACCTAAACATGAGTTCAGGAGGCAGTAAACAGGTGTTGCGCTGACAGCAGCAGGCAGGCCCAGGTCCTTTGTCCTGCTCTCTTTGTATCTCACGGCAAAAAGTCTCGGTCTAGAAAGGGCAGGTCTGAGGAAATGCCGTCCCGGGACTCCTGAGCTGTTGGTGGAGCCACTGAGGACAGACCAAACTTTCACACGCCTGCCTTAGAAACATTGATGTTTTGAAGTCACATGTCGGCCATGATGAACTCATACATTTGCATAAAGAAAGGAGGTGTTTCGCACCCTGGCAGGACGTGGAGCTGAGACCATGGGAGGAAGGCTGAGGATGCAGCTATGGCTTTTCAACCAAGCGGCAGAAAGGGCTGCCGGCCAGCATGACTCCACAGTTGTTAGACATACTTCATCATAGCCTGCGTACAAACGTGTTTTTTCAATGAACTACATCCTGAATTATATTACAGAGTGTACTCGCTTCCCAAGGCTACTATAACAAAGTACCACTAACCGGGTGGCTTCAAACCGCGGAAATGTATTCACTCATAGTTCTGGAGGCCAGAAGCCCAAAATCAAAGTGGCCACGCTCCCACTGACACTCAGTATAGTCCTTCCCCACCTCTTCTTAGCTTCTGGTGGCTCCTGGCACTTGTTGGCGTGCCTTGGCTTCTAGCTGCGTCGTTTCAGTCTCTGCCCCTGACGTTACATAGAGTTCTCTGTATGTGTCTGTGTCTGTAGCTTTTCTCTTATATAAGGACACCAGTCATCTTAGATTACGTCTCACCTTGACTGCCTCATCTTATCTTGATAACATCTGCAAAGACCTTATTTTCAAATAAAGTCACATTCACAGGTACTGGGAGGTACCAGGGCTTAGGACTCCAACATATCTTGAAGGGACACATAGTAATAGAATTTACACAGGTTAATAGAATATCATAGAGTTGTAGAATTTACTCTTTTTTGGGGGGGTATAAAAGAGAGTTGGCAGTGGCACAGTAGCAAGAACACCAAAAACGGAAAGAGTAAAGTAGGTTTCTGAGCATGCAAGACATTTCTGAAGGAGAAACTTGAGTAAGCTCAAAAAGATGAATCAGTTGTGGGCTGAGGAAGGGTTAAGTAAAACACATAATTTCACTTTACCAATATAGTTCTAGGCATTTATGAATAGCTAATTCTTGTCTGCATAAAAGGGAAAAAAAGGCCTACCAGATTTTTTATCTCGATTTGGACTTTATAAATCATTTCCAAAGGATAGGAAAATTCACTCTGAGGCTTTGAGCATTCAATCTGAACATTGGCTGACACACACCTACCTCCTGAGTACCTGCCCCAGCTCCAATTTACTACTTTCTTGGGGTGGCCACTAATGATTTTGAAACAATAGCGAGTAGAGGGGAATTGGTATGCCAATAATAGGGGGTAGTGGAAAGATTCAGAGGACAATGCTTGTATAAAGATTTGTGACTCGAAACACCTGAAAATTAATACTGTTGAAACTTGAACCACCTTCTTTAGAACATTTGACGGACAAAGTGAGTGGCCTTCTAGATCTTTGAAAAATGTGTATTTTTAATGGAGTTCCTCTCGGTTAAAACTAGAAGTGTAGCTACTTTTATAGTTTGTGGGTGTTTGCCTTAACATCCACCAAGTTTGTTTGAGAGGTTATCTTCTTGAGATCCTCGGTTAGCAGGAAAATGCCAAGTTGAAAAATGTAACAGCCTCTACAGACTTTGGACTAAAAGGACAATGTGGGTAACAGAAGAGAATTAGGAGAAGGGGGACCCGAGCCTCTTTATTAATCCCAAAGGGGACCTGAGGAAGGAAACCTAACTCTCACCCACCCTATGCCAGCCCACAGCTGATGTGTCTTTTGACTCATATTCTACTTGAGAAATGTTTGACACACTCAGAATCGGAAATATAGTTTATGCCCTCCCATTTGAGTGTTATTAATATGCCACTGCCAATTCTCTTTTACACCAAAGTGACTACAGTTATTCTTTGATATTGATATATATTAGAGGCATTCTTGTGTGGCCTTTCTAGAAGCACTGTAACATAAACTTATGCAGTATTCAATTTAAAATCATCAGTTTGCTTTTGCTTGTTTCCATCTTGGACTAATTGAAATGCTCCCGTAGGTCCTTTGAGGTAAAGATATTGGGAAATCGTAAAATGAAATGGCTTATCTCCAAGGAGGGAAAAACAGAGTTCTTTGGAATATCACGACTATATATCCTGAGAAAATTATGCTTTAGCAAATGCTTTTGGTTTCCTTAAGCCTGTTTTTATGGGTTGAGTTGTGTCCTCCCCCACCCCCCGAATCTTATATGTTGAATTCCCAACCCCCGAATCTTATATGTTGAATTCCTAAATGTGACTTTATTTAGAGATGGGGTCTTTACAGAGGTAATCCAGTTCCAGTGAGGTCGTTAGAGTGGGCCCTAATTCACTATGATTGGTGTCCTTATAAAAAGGGGAAATTTAGACACAGACATCCATTGAGGGCAGATGATGTCAAGAGACACAGGGAGAAGATGGTCACCTACAAACCACGGAGAGGACTGGAATGGATCCTTTATTCATAGTCTTCAGAAGGAACCAACCCTGCCTGCACCTCGATTTTGGACTTCCAGCCTCCAGAACTGCAAGACAACTTTTTGTTGTTTAAGCCACCCAGTCTGTGGTTCTGTGCCACCTTTGCAAACTAATACACCTGTGTTTAGAAAGGGGTTTTTTTGTTTGTTTGTTGTTTGTTTAAGATTCTTTTTATTTTTTTAAAATTTATTTTTATTGAGGAACAGTGTGTTTCTCCAGGACCCATCAGCTCCAAGTCAAGTAGTTGTTTCATTCTAGTTGTCGAGGGCGCACCTCCGTGACCCATGTTGGAATCAAACTAGCAACCTTGGTGTTATGAGCACTGCGCCCCGTGCTCTAAGCACCTGAGCTAACCGGCCATCCCTGTAATTAAGATTCTTAATTAATGCAACTATTGTTTTAAAAAGGAGTCTTTGAGTCATTTTGTTTTCATTGGTTCCACCAATTTCCTGGAGAAAAGAAACTGAATGTAGGCACTATTCTCTACTTCACCGGAATTATATGGGGCTGGTAATTTTCAGAATGCTTATGAACACTTGGTAACATGACCTCTAGATAATCAAGTTATGGGCTATGTGTCCTTATCCACTGCCGTGAAAGCCTGGCTCATCCATAGAGATTTATGGCTTAGCCCAGGACAGTATGGCCGAGTCACAGAAAGGTGAATTAAAAAGAGATTTGAAGCCATTATGGGTGAGGTTAGCAACTTTCAGGAGGAGAAGTAAGTCTGAACATGGAGAGGGCTGATTTCAACAAATAACAAGCCAGTCGGTAGAGACTATGTGGAGATTTTGCAAATGGTAGGAAAAGGCTGTTTTCTCAATTGAAGAGATACAGCTTATGGTAGCATTTGCCGATTCAAGGAAGATGACATAAAAGATTTTGAAAGTCCTTGAGGAGATCCCATTTCTTGGAAAAGCAAGGGGCATAACCTGGTGCGTCTTCCCCAGAGCACCCCTTCTTTCTCGCATCCTGATCCTGTGGGAAAAGGGGGCTGTTGGCTTATTCCCAGCCAGGCCCAACAGCTCTTTCTCTGCTTTCATCCTCCTGGGTCAATCCCTTAATTGTGTTTATTATCATTTTACCCTTGACCTTTCCCTGTGACTCATACTGTCCTCCTGATACTATTTGACAATGTCTGTGTCCCCAAGGATTACTTTATTTGCCATCTGCTCTACTTTCTACACCATTTCTCCTGGGAAACAGATAACCCACATGGATTCCATTTTCATCTAGGTGTTGATGACAGCCCTCAGGTCAACATCCCCAGCCGTGACCTCTCGCCCATTCTCCTGTCCTGTTTTCATCTTGGTACATATAGAACATTTCCTCTATGGTGTTAGTAATGCCTGAAATGGAATCTGTCCAAAATAGAGCTCTTTCAGCTGGACAGCTGGACTTGGCTCTCACAATCGGCAACTCCATTCCTCTCTGTCTCAGGGATGTGAACCTTTGATTTCTGTCTCTCTTACTCCCTGCCCCCCTTAGCCCCACCTTTTTTTTTTTTTTTTTTTTTTTGTCCATCTGCCCTGCTCATCTTTGTTTAGCAATATTTTTGGCTCCTTCCTTTGTCTTTGGCCTTATGCACGAACTGGTTCAGGGTCACCTTGCCCCCACTGATTAATCCTGTGCAAGCTTAGCCTGTCCTATTGATTTTCATTCTCTTTTCAATGTGGTTTATCTTCATTCAAGATTCAGCTTAGCAAGTGGGAACTAGAGGCTGATTGTCAATGACCAGTGGCTCCTGACACTTTTTACCTTTGATAAATCAAGCAATTCCTTGCATCAGCTTTAGTATGCATGGTTGAACCCTGAATATTTCAACCTGGATATCCTGTCAGTGCTTATAATTCAACTTGTTAAAAACCTGCTCCCTTATCACGTCCCTTCTGAGATAAACAACATTTTGATACCACTTCCTGTTGTCCCTATCACCATCCTCGGAGCCCACTCCTTTTAGTCCCCCAGACACAGTTGATTCCTCTCTCTCCTTCGCCCTTGCATCCCATCTGTCAGTGTGTCTTGCCTTTTCTTCTCTGCCAAGTCTTATGTTTCTGCTGCTTCCTTTCTATTTCCTCAGGCAGTTCCCTAGTCCAGATCCTCATTACCTCACCCCCAGACTGCTGTGGCAGCCCAGATCATCTTACTCAAGACCAGTCTCTGTCCACTGTGCCACTATGCATCAGATAAGTGAAGCTTCCCTCTTTCAGGGGGTACATTTATTTTATTTAAACAATTTTGAATGCTTACATTTCTCAAATGTCATCGTAACCAGAGGGTACAGAAGTGCTAGATGACAGGGTCATTGTGGGTAGGTGTCCATTATTTTACTAACTGGTGTACAGTCCGGGGTGCCCCGTACTTTAGAAGTACTTCTTCTCACATATCAGCTTTCATTTTTTCTTGGCTGTTATTGTACCTGTCTCCCTATTTGGTGCTTCTAGTCTAAGAACCTAAAGAGTGAAGAAGAAGAATGGTTAACAGCATAGATTTGGGAGTCAGGCAGACTGTAGTTCAAATCCCAGCCCTGCTAGTCGTAACAAAGTGACCTTGGACAAACTATGTCATCTCCCCAGACTGCATTTGTTCGTCTGTAAAGCAGGGAAAATACACCTCCCCCTACAGCCGTGGGTTGTTAGCACCTGGAGTCTTATACAGAGAGCAAACTCAGTAATGACAGTCCCTCTACAACTTGTTAATTGCATGTTAGATGACAGTAAGATTGAGTGAAGGCTAAGAGAGTAAAGCTGGTGGCTTTGGTGGTAGAGCTTCACACCAGCATTTATGAGTAATTTAATAATACTCCTAGAACGATGAAGTTATCAGAAGATGACAGTTCCGGATAAGTGGGCTGTTGGTGCCGGTGTAGACCAGTGGTTAATTGCTGGTCTAGCATTTGTGGTTGCATTGTTACTATGTAAATGCTTATAATTTGTCTCCAAGCAAAGTTTCAGGTTCCTCAGGGCAGAGGCCATTGTGGTGGCTGTTCGCCCCCCACTTGCTTACAGCCAATTAGCAGGGTCTGGAACACTGTCCTTCTGCCTTTCAAACGATACCCCATCTTTCTAATGGCAGCTCAAATCTTAGCTCCTCTGTAAACCCTTACCTAACCACACCCATAGTGATTCCTGCCTCTCAACTCCTCCCGTGTTTACTTTGGCAACTTGCTTATGTTGCCTAGAATTGCTGGTTTTCTCTTTTAATTTGCAATGAACCTGGCAACCCCATGAGATTTGAAGCTCTTTCAGGGCAGTGCCGATGTCTTAGATGTCTTTGTGTTGTGTCCTTTTGGGCCCAACCCTAGTCTTTTTATATCGCAGTCAGTATTGTTACTGTCATTATTGACAAAAGAATTCTGTAAAGCTTGTAGTTGATCCTAAACTGTGCCCTGGTGAGATATACTATTATATATGTTTAACATTACACAACTAGTGGATTAACAGAGTTAGATTGAAAATGATATCGAAGACCACAGACATTGAGTATACACTATTTTGAAAGTGTATCATGTAGAAATGGGGCTAATCTGAACTTATCCTTGCGCTCCTTGTGAAATATAAAGTTGATATGCAAGATGAGTATCATTCAAATTTTATGAATATTGTTTTGTGTGTCAATGAAGAAAATTTTTTCTAGTACCTTTCAACCCCCAGGGGCATCAAATGATCATATCATATAGGATAATCAAGGGTTGTACAGATTAACCCTTTTCTAGATGTTTTTAAAAATGTCTATTCAGATGCATATTTCTAACATTCATATATTTTTGACATTTCTTGTGACATATTCTATAGTTTTATTATATTTTGTGTGTATAACGTGATGTATAAGACAGATAAGGCATTCCACCAGGTATGGGAATGAATCCCTCCTTTGAGTTTTTGATTACAAAGAAAAAGATCTGTAGCTTCTATCAAATACTCATTATTCAGCAGAAGTGAGTGTCCAAAGGATTGTAGGAAGTGGGAAAGTTGGCTCCTCTTTAACTAACTAACTAAGGTGTTGTTGATCGTGTTCCCTTTAGTAATGGGTTCCGACTGGCAACCTATTATTTCATGTCTGCCAAACCAAAATTAAACGTTATATATTGATAAAAGTGGTGCCACTGTTTTATTTATAATTCCTTCTCTGAAGCTTTGGTAGGATTCAGTGAAATCGAATTTGAGTTTTGTTTTGTTTTGTTTTTTTAAGCCATAGTTGAATCCTCACTCATCCCTGTAGTTTCACCAGAGTTTGATCTTCCAGTAGATAATTTTGGGGTGGTGAAATAGAAAGGAAATGTACTCAGATATGAAGCAACTTTTCAGTTCATCTAGTTGTGAAATACAAAAATTATGAAGAAACTAAGCAAGTAAGTGGGGGGGGGGGGAGGCGGAGAGCTAAATGAGCCAATCCTTTAACAAATGACATTTTAAAAAACCTTGTGAGGTAAGACCTCAGGAAAGTCGTGAAGATTTGTAGCCCTTCTTCTTCTCTTCCTTCTCCCTCTCCCTCTCCCTCTCCTCCTTCTTCCTCTTTCTCCTTCTTTCTTCTTCTTTGTGTAAAAAAATATCCCCAACCCAAAAGAATGAATTTCTCGTTAAACCATTAAGACAAAGAGGCACATAGAATTAGTCAGGATTAAACATCTGGGTCAGAATCTGTTTTTGTTTTTTTGTTTGTTTGTTTGTTTGTTTTCACATATCATAAGAGCCAAAATAAACCCATCACTTGACTTCCTAGCTTTCAAAGTAGGACCCTTGTAAGAATGAAAGTGGAAAGGATGCTCTCACTAATTGAATTGGCATGACCAGGGTCATTCCGGAGTGTCCCAAAGTCAGACGTATGCTTACCCTGTCCGTAAAACACCCGGCCCAGAGCCTGGGACGTACTAGATGCTCATGACTTTAAAATCTGTTGAATCATGAGACTCCTGAGGAATTGGGTTTGAAATCAAGTGTGACAGCATCTTATGGACATAAATGGCATCCATGATAAAGGCTAGGAGACAAATGTTTTTAAAATAGTATTTTGAAATGCAGACTTACATGCATATTTTTTAAAAAATGCAAAATATGCATTGGAATAAAGTAGCCAAAAGAGGGTCAAATGCCTTCAGTACCTTTAGTGCATATGCTATGAAAATGTACCCTAAAGTAACCGGGAACCTGGATTTGTTGGGGGCTTGAAAGAGGCAGTCTTTCGTCTTTGCAGTAGTAAGAAATGACTCTTATAAATAATGGAGTTTAATACTACTAACGAAAGGATATATTTTAGTGCCAATTTTATGGGAGCTGTTTTTCTTTTGCCATATGCAAGGAGGAATAGATTACATACAGTTGAATAAGTTGTCTTAAATGTTAAGAAATTTGTTTTTAAATGCTTTTTACTGATCACTTTTATAACAACTTGTACTGGTATCATTAAAAAGCATGTCAGGCCCCAATGTCTACCTCGTATCCAGTGTTTATGATTTTGACCTGCTTCTGAGCCAGAGCTGCATGGTAATAAGGACGCTGCTTTAAGGAAGCTTTAGCTCTAACTTGTGGTAACTTGCTGTGCTTTTATGAGTGAAAATGTGGACATCTTGTCAGATGTTCACCTTGGCAGGCTACTTAAGCTTTGGTGGACCGGTCTAGGTCTATGACCCCTCTAGGGAGCAGGCGTGGTTATGGCAGATTTATTCTGCTCAGTGATTGCCCGGCTCCCTCACACCACTCGCTCCCCATGGGCTCAAATCCCACCCTCGCCATTGGATTGTAATGGCCTCCCAGCCTCCCAACAGAGGAAGAGCAAAACCCGCTTTGTCTTCCAAGAGGCAAACAGGAAGGGCAGAGATGACTTACAAAACAACTGAGAGTTTGCCACAGGATCAAACTGAAAATGTCCCCTAAGCCCTTACCTTTTCTGAAAAGGAAATGGACAGAGAAGGAGGGGCGTAGTCCTTGAAGAGAATGGAGGTCAATACAAAAAGAAATGAGAGTGGAAAACGTAAAGCTTCTCCCCTTCCTCGTCCCCAGCCTTAGGGATCTGAATAAATAGGATGTAAAAGGCGTGGAGCTAAACTCACCGAGAGCTAAACTGATCAGGAGGATTCGTTCCAGAAAAATACTCTCAGAGAGGAATGTTTGGAAATAAGTTTGGTTGTTGCCGTAAGATTATTTTAAGATTAAGTTACACATCCACCAGCAGTGTTTAACTCCTTATAAGATATTTTAGAGATTTTAAAACGGTAATAGTATTAATTTATAATTGTTATCATTAAAGACTTTCTTTAGCTATATTTACTTGGAGCATTTTGCTTCTGAGAGCAAAATGGCCTCTGCTACAGAATAAAGGTAATAAGGCTGTATCTGCAAACTTCCAGTTATGAGATAAATGAGTTCTGAGATTTAATATACAGCATGGTGACTATGGTTACCAATACTGTACTTAGACTTGAAAGTTGCTAAGAGAGTAGATCATAAGTGTTCTCATCACAGACACAAAATGTAACTATGTAACTATGTGATAGAGATGTTAACTAACCTTATTGCTGCAATCATTTCACAATATATATGTATATCAAATCATCATATTGTACACCTTAAACTTACACATTGTTATATGTCAATTAGATCTCAATAAAGCTGGGGGAAAAGTAAGGCTGTTTTGGAAATTGTGCCTAGTTCTTATACTGTAGCTGTTAACCGTATACAAGAGCAGCAGTGACCACGCCAGACCACGCCAGAGTCTGAGGCAACTCGCATGGTGAAGGGCATTTCTCGTCATGCAGGTCTCCTCTGATCCGGGCATCTGTCACCAGAGGTAGCCAATGATGATTTCCACAATTTTATGACCCTTGGCTGTCATCCCAATGAGTTATAAGTCACCCTCTTCCCCTCTGTAAAATTCCACTTCTACAACCCTGACCTTTCCACCAAAAGTTTTTTGAAACAGTGAAAACAGAGCCACATCCCTTTTATGTAACATCAGCATATTTCGTCCACTGCCAGCCCTGACGGACGCCTCCCCCGCCCCAAGTACTTGAGGATTGAGGAGGAAGGGGCAAGCTGGATACCAAAGGATGAAGGAAATGCTTATTTGCTTCGCCTCTTCGGTAGATAAATGACTGAAAATAATCAGGTAGCTGAATAAGGGCAAATTGGAGGGACTGTATAGAACATCTAGAACAATATGGATATTCAGTGCTGATAAATATAGAAAA